AGTCAACTACAGTTTTATGCTGCACAATTTCCACTGAGCTCTCACTGCTGCATGACAGTCCTTTTATACCTCCCTAATTAATGCACTGTCCCCCTTCCACAACTAATCTTCCAAACCTTTTCATTTCTCCTCAAACTTCCCATGGCTCTACGTACCTACCCACTCAACTGATAACCTTGTCTCATATTTTACTGAAAAATTGAGATTATTTTCTAAGACTTCCCTCTTCTCCCTTCCTCCCCATCTCATACAACCTAGATGCCTTCTTTGTCTCCTCCTTCACCCCTGGAACACACAATAGGATGGTTCTTCTTGTCTAGGTAAACCCCTCTACATGCACAAATAAATCTCATTCCATCATATCTTCTCCAGATTGCCTCCTCTATCATGCCCACTTACTCACTTATTCATTCTTTGCCTGTCTGCTGCTTGCTTCCCTACTGCCTACAAACATGTCCATACATCTTTGTTTATTTCTTATCTGAAACAGAAACACTCTGACGTACAGAGCTTCTGAGTAAAGTGATTTATTTGCAAGGGTAGCAATTGCAATCAAATTGGTTCTACTGACACTTCAGTGGTCAGAACAAATGGATGATTTACGGAGTTTATTTTTATAGTAAAAAGAAGGAGAACTTACAAGTCATGGAAAGTGACAAAAATCTCAAGAAACTTGTTATGAACATAATTCAATTCAACAAGGCAGGTCAGTTGACCAATGTACTTTTTAGGACTTTTTACATGCATATTTGTTGCTATTGCCAACTTTGAGGGTGGACATGTCAGGGGCATAATGGGAGTTTCCACAGTGGAACAACTATTAGATTTATCATTCTGTTTGGTTAGAACTTATGTCTATCATCCTGTCTTTCAAAGGGAGATTGCTTTAGCTAGAAGGTTCTGCAGCAGTATCATCTACAATTAATTTAAAGGAAATATAGATTCTGAGAGATGCAAAAAGAACTTACAGCCAAAGAAAGAGGAACTTATTCTTAGGAACTTAACTTTTAACAAAAATCTTCTAATATCTGACTTAATCTAGTGATTATTTTATTTCTACAAAGATATATGTGTACTCTAAATTATCAATAAGTAATAACTACTAATAGAGCCTTAATCCATCAATTCCTTCATCCTGTCTTCAAAAAACTCCACTGATCTATCTGTACCTGCTAGCTGTCATCCCATCTCTCTCGTCCTTTTTGTGGCTAAACCCTTAAGAAGGCTTGTTACAGTAGGGCCTTCCAGTTCTTTTCCTCTCACTTCTGTCTTAATGCTTCTGGCTTCTGGTTTATTCAACCAGAAGTGCTCCCTCTAAAATTACTAACAATCTCTTCATTGCTCAATCTGATGGCCTTTTTTCAACCCTCATCCTTCTTGGCTTCTCTGCAGCCATTATTGGTTACCCTTTTCTCCTGATACTCTCCTTTCTCAGTCTTTGTGACATTAGTCTCTCCTGGTCCTTTGCCTCCCTATCTGATTTAGACTCATCAGTCTGTTGAATCTTCATCCAGGTCGCCCAAGGCTCTTTACTGGGCCTTCTTCTTTCCTCTATCTATACTACTTCATTTGATGATCTCATCAGCTCCCATGGATTCAGTTTTCTTTTCTGCTGATGATTCACAAATTTACTTAATCAGCTGGAACCACTCTGCCAACTCCCAATCTGACATCTACAACTGTTGGACTTCTAAAATTAAATGTCCCCTGAGCGTCTTAGATTCAACATTTCCGAGCAGAATTCATTATTTTCCCCCCAACATTTTCTTCTTCCTAACTTTCTTGTTACTGTGGAGGGTACTACAATCCTCCTAGTTAACCCAGCTCACACCCCAACAGTCCCCTTGCCCCATATCCAACCTGTTGACCAGACCTGTCAATTTTACCTTGATAACATTTTTCACATACACCTCTTCTCCCCTCTGACACTGCCACCACCCTGGTTCAGGCCCTCATCACCTCTCACCTGGATTATTGCAATAGCCTGTTGGTTGGTTTCTCCTATTCTGGTCCATCCTCCATTCAGCTGTCAAACTGATCTTAAAGCACAGGTCTGATGTTATCTCCTACTCCAGTGCTTCCCTATCATCTCCAGGATTAAGCATAAAATACTGTTTGGCATTCAAAGTCTTATATAACCTGTCCCCTCCCTTCACTATCAATCTTAGCAACCCCTTTCTTCAACCCCTCTGTGATCTAAGGACATTGGTTTCCTTGCTCTTCCTCAAACAGGAAATGCTCTCCTTTATCTCTGCCTCCTGGCTTCCCTGGCTTCCTTCAAGTTCCAATTGAAATCCCACCATCTATAGGTAACCTTTCCTGATCTGTCTTAATTCTAGTGCCTTTATTCTCTATTGCTTATTTCCAGTTTATCGGGTATATGGCTTGTTTGTACATAGTTGTTTGCAGGTTGTCTCCACCATTATTAAGAGTTTGAGCTCTTTGAGACAGGGACTGTCTTTTGCCTTTATATGCCCAGCACTTACATAATGCCTGGCACATAGTAGGACCTTAATAAATGTTTATTGACTGACAAATCGGAACATTAGAATATAAAAAGAATGGAAAAGAAACTAAATTTCTTATTATATAAAGTTCATTTTTAAAAATATGCATTATATTTTAAATGATAATAACAAAATTGCCTTGCTTGTCTGTGCTACATTCTGAATTTTCTATAGAGTATTAACATTTTTTTCACTGATACTCATTTTTTTTCTTCTTTTTTTCCATCACTATCCACCAACCTGTCCCAATCCCCTCAACAGAAGCCTTCCTGCTTGTAACAAATAAATATATCAAGGCAAAAAAAAAATCCAGTTCTAAATTTCTGATCTCATAAACACAGTAGTCCTCTCAGAATAACTCTTCTCCTGTACCTCTTGTTCATTGTCTGCCATCAGGTTGGTAATATGTTTCTTCATTAGTCTTCTTAAGTTATGATAGGCCTACTGCAAATTGTTTCCTTTACATTATTGTAGGATAATAAGATCATGGATTTAGAGCCAAAAGGGACCTTAGAGGCCATTGGCTATATCACCCTCATTTTACACATGATGAAACTGAAGCATAGGGAAGATAAATGATTTGCCTGGGACCAGTGTATAAATTGTTCACCTGGTTCTGCTCATTTGTTTTGTTTCAGGTCATGTAATAGTTTCCAGGTATCTCTAAATCCATCATGTTTGTGATTCCATCCATTGCAAAAAATATTCCATCACATTCATATGCCATAATTTGTTTAGCCATTCAGAAACTGATGAACAGCCCCTTCATTTCTACTTCTTTTCTGTACATAAAGTGCTGCTACAAATATTTTTGTTTATATAAGCCCTTTATGTCTTTTGCCTTCCTTGTAGCAATATTTCTACTAGTGGTATTACTTACTGGTTATGCATGGTTTAGTGATGCTTGGGTCCTAAATTACTTTCCAGAATGGGTTGGCCAGTTTACAGTTCCGCCAACAGTACATTAGTGTTCCTGTCCTCCCAAAGTCCTTTTATTAATTGTCATGTTCCTCTTTTGTCATCTTTGCCAATCAGAATGTTAATTTAAATCTCCAAATTGTTTTAATTTGCATTTCTCTTAATAGTGATTTAGAACATTTTTATCAGATTGTTGAGAGCTTAGAGAGCTCTCTTCTCATACCTCTTCTTTGGGGCTATGCTTGTTCTTTGTTATTTTGTACATTTTTTATTCTTATTTTTTGCACTTCTGATTTTTGTGGTGGTTCTTTACGTTTATATTGTTGTGGCTAGTGGATATCATATTTTATTGACTTTGCTTCACTACATTGGACTGTGTTTCTTTATGTTTATCATATTCATTGTTTCTGACAGCACAATAAATTTTCATTACATTCATGTACTACGTACGGTTTGTTTAGTTATTCCCCAGTCAATGTGCATCTACTTGTTTTCTAGTTTTTTTTCTTTTTTACAACAAAAAGTGCTGCTCCATCAACAATGCATTAATGTGCCTGTCTTTCTGTCCCTCAACACTGATTATTCTTGTCTTTTCTCATCTTTGCCAATTCTCTTGGTGCGAGGTGAAACCTCAGAGTTGTTTTAATATACATTTTTATTGTTTATTTGGAGCAATTTTTTTTCATACTCCCTGTTGATAGTTTGGTTTTCTTTCTTTGAGAAATGTCTGTTTGTATCCTTTGATCAGTTATCTATTGAGGAATGGTTATCACTCATATTTTTGAACTAGTTTCTTAAATGTCTTGCATATGAGACCTTTACCAGAGAATCCTTACAAAGATTTTTTCTCAATTATCTCTTCTTCTAATTTTAGCTAAGTTGTTTTTATTTGTACAAAATCTTTTCAATTTTATAATACTCAAAATTGTTCATTTTATCTTGAATGACCCTTCCTACCCCTTGTCTGGTCAGGGATATAGCTTAACCTATATCTTCTGTCTTCCCCTATCCATTGTTGCAAAAGTTACTCCTTCCTTACTGCTCTGACTTTTATTTATGCCTACCTAGGTCACACATGTATTTGGAACTTATTATGGCATATGTTGTGAGATGTTGGTCTAAACCTCAATTCTGCCAGGCTCCTTTCCAGTTTTCACAGTAGTTCTTGTTGAATTACCTCATTATTTGTGGTCTTTGGATTTCTGTGACTATTTAGTCTACTTCTTCATGGCCCATATCTCAGACATCCTATAGGACTGCAACACCTGTATGTCCTGCTTCTTGCCTCTGTGTTCCCTCTTTTCTTCTCCCGTTCTGTCTGTCTCTCTGCCTGGCTGGCTGTCATCTACAGAGACAATGGGGAACTTTCTGTCAGTGAACACCCAAAACTTTGACTACAACATTTGATATAGTAGTCCTATGTAATTATACACAAATGCATTTCTCTTTTAATGAGGTTCCTTTTTTTTAAAGCAGTTTGTGTACCCAAATTGATTAGGCCTTTTTTTAAGTGTTGAAGAGAGTAGAAAGAAGTTTTAAAATAAATCTTATTTAACATTACTTTTTTTTTTTAAGGAAAGGACAATTTCAGGCATGAAGAATATCATTGCTGAAATGGAACAGGCGTCAAGGTAATTCTCAGTTAGTATTTTGGAAAAGTCACAAAGTTTTATAGACTTGACAAATGACCAATTGTATTATTATTTTTTATATTGTAATTGTCTCTGAAATTGTGTAGAACATGAAATTTTACATTTACTTTTTCAAACTTTGTCACATCCATCTCTATAAACTCAAGTGTTTACTTTTCAGTATTGTCTTTTTTTTAAATTGTTTTTCTGCATCAGTAAAATGCTTTTAATGTCCCTGTTTGACTTGTAAAATAGACAATCAACTGAAGCTCTTATCATGTGTGAACAAGACATTTCCAGAATGCGTAGACAACTGGATGAAACAAGTGATGAGCTTGCTCAGATTGCTAGAGAAAGAGAGGCCTTGGCTCGTGACAATGATAAACTCCAAGAGTCAGTCTCTAGAATTAAGCAGGAAAACCAGGTATTTTTGCTGATAGAATCCTTTTTGTAAATGCAAATTTACAATTTTTATCTTAATTGCAAATGAGGTATAGGTTATAATTAGATAAATTAGGATTAAGAAAATGCAGGTTGGTTTAGACCTCTGCTCATAGCTAAACTCCACTTAATTTTCAATGAAAGCCAGAAGATGTGACGTGAATGGCAATGAACTATTGTTTTCTGTTGAAAAATAAGAAACAAAATACTGTAAGGTAGGACACTCAGATGTTTTAGTAAATGGAGATCCTCTTTTAATGAAAGGAAAGAAAAATATTGTGATGCTTTAAGAGCAATTCTACTGAAAGGTAGAGGTATTGGCTAGACTGTATTTTTAGGTCCTTTCTAGCCTAACTCTATATTTGAACATTTATTTTATTTTTTTGTTGTGTGTAGTTCATTTTATGTATCTTCATCTTATTGTAAGATTTTCTTGCTTCTCTTATTCTTAATGTCAGCCAATTACTTCTGCAGTTTGTGCCTGTATTATTAAACATTTCTTCTTCTATATTGTCATTTTCTGCCAATTTTTGTATCTAGTTGAAAGATGATTTCTTCATCTTTAGTATTCACTTTTATAGTTCCCTCATCACTGTATGTTTTTTTTTACTTGGCATTAGCTGTAATTTAATGTGATTTTTCTCACAAATTTTATGCTTTGAAAAGGCATAAATTTTTTTTGTGATGGTTACATAAACAGCCATCAAGATACATCAATATACTAATTACATAATGTTTTCTCTTTGTATTTAGTATATATTTATAAAACAAAAAGGTACGAATTTATAGGGCCTTTCTAAATTATCTTTTTTATATTCTGATAAGATAGGTAGACAAAAATCAAGCGATTGCATTTCTGAAAAATGCTTTTTGTTTTGTTTTGTTTGAAACAGGTATTATCCAAAAAATTGACCGAAAATCAAACAGAGCTTAGTGATTTAAAACAGAAGAGCCATGACTCTAACAGTGATGTTAGCAAGCTGAAATCTTTACTAAAGGCTGAAGTATGTATATGTATTTTTTTTTTTTGCTTTTAATTATCATGGTATTTAAATAAGAGTTTTTGATAGAGGTGAATTAAATCAAAGTTACATCTAGTAAAAGGTGATCATGACATTTTGAACACATCTGTAATATTTAGTGTTCAAGGGCAATAACAATAATAACTGAAAGTGGATTTATTATAGCTTTAGAATTTCATCATCAGTATCATCATAATAATGACGAAAAGGTAACACTTGATATATGTATAATAGTGCTTCACAGACGTGTTATCATTTGATCCTCACAAAAATGCTTTGAGACAAATGTTGTTATCCTCATTTTGCAGATGAAGAAACTAAGATTTGGAGAGTAAGTAACTTATTTCATGGTTACTCACCTGGTAAATGTAGGAGGCAGAATCTGAAGCCTTGTCTCCCCTGTATACAAGTGTAAAGCTTTCCACTATGCTATACTGCTTTTTGAGGATCTAGTAAGATGACTCAAGATGGCTTCATACTGAAGAAATTCTCTTTTACAGTCTTGGAGGAAGTAAACTAATAATTTCTAATCCACCCCCCAACAGAAAGTAGAACCATTGTAATTGGAAAATATTGGTCAGGGCTGCCTAACCATTTTGTGGATCACATTGCCCTACTTGTTCTGGAATGATTGGTCTCTGTCGTAAGTTTTGTAATATGACTGCTTATCTAAAATAGTCTAATAGTGAATGCATTATAAGATAGCTGGCCAAAAGGGAATCCTGGGTCTATCAATGAACTCATATGGAGGGCGTTTTCTATAGAGTGAAAAAGAAGAGATCATAGTTGGCTGGGTCCCAGCTTGAGTGTAAGCCTATACCTGCTAGCAAGTAGTCTGTGCTCTCTGTGACAGAGAGAGGGATCCAGGGAGTGACTGACTGCACCCAAGGAGTCATTTACTCAAGTCTGACAGACTCTGGGACGTAGAGCCACTGCATCCCCTCCTCCGTTCTACCATACAAAGGGCTCAAAATTGACAGGCCTGGCTCCCTTGAGAGTTGGAAGTGGTGACATTTTTAGTTTCAAAGTTGTTTCTACAGACAAGAAAAGACTCTCATTGTCTGTAACAACAAATCAGAAATTGATTTTTCTGTTCTATGGACATCAGTTTCAAAGAAGTGGAGGGGACAGGGATCACCTCCGTCTTTTTTCTTCCATTTTCGTGGAACCACTTGACTATGGCTGTGTTCATTAGGACTCGCGTGTCATATACGTCTATTCCAGGTAAATATAAGAGCAACTTGAAAATTACTGGACTGGACAAATTTGAACAAGGACAGTGGATGTAGGTATATATCCACTGGAAAAAGTCATGCCCCAAAACATAAAATATATTTACTAGATTGATACAGCTACATAGCATCCCACAATAACAGTACTTTAATTTTTTATTACAAATTTCTTTTGCTTACCTTGTTTAATGATTTCTTAATATTAGTTAGTCAAGAATTACTTTGGGGGCCCTTACTATATGCTTATCACTGTGATAAGTATTATGGGAAAACTACAAAAGACACGCCCTCTGTCTGCATTAATAATACTAGCTGATGGATTTATTACATTTTAAGGTTTGTAAAACAATTTACATATATTATCTAATTGTATCCTCACAACAACCTTGTGAGGTATATACCCTTTTATTATCCCCATTTTATGTATTAAAAAATGAGGTTGATATATATTAAATGATTTGCTCAAGGTCAGAAAGCTAGTGTGTCTGAAGTGCTATTCAAACCCAAGTCTTCCTGACTCCAAGTCTCCTGCTTTATCCACGGTACTCAAAACAGGGCCACCAGTTATAGGTAAAGTGATTACAATATATGTTATGTTTTGAGGGACACCTAAAGATCCTTCTCATAAATATCGTGGTTGTCTAAATAGACTTGGTTGTTTAAGCTTCCATCATTAGAGATTCAGTCCTTTAAAACTGTGTCTTTAAGAGCCTGTTGTTAAATTATGAAAATTCTTTTTAACCAACTTGATATTTGATAGTATTTAGAAATAGCATTATAAGTCATTCTCAACTATCATAAATAGTTGATATTTATAATAATGAACTTATACACATTAATCATACAATTATCAGTTTAATAAATTTAATATAAATTCAGTTATGAGATAGGTGAGAGAATCGATACAGGTAAATTTTTGATAAGGATAGATGTATGGGTCTGAAATTTATTTTGGCATTGGGACCTGGATATGGGGCATCACGGTATGGGGAAGCTACAGCCTGGCAACAGCATGAATGTACTTAAGCCTTGGAAAAGGGACTAAAAAAGTGAAGGCAGAAGAGAGAATAATATTGAAGTTAGGTGAGTAGAGCCCTAAAGGGCAACTTTTCCTTCTTAACAATTTGGACTAGGAGTTTATAGTCTTATAGGAAAGTAAACTTATTTACATTGTCATTTAGAAAATAAGACAGTTTAAGATAAAGTATTAAATATTATGGCACAGATAGTGAGTGAGTACAATAGGTATTCAGAGAATAGAGAGATTAATATGGTATAGAGTCATTAGAAAAGATGCAATATGTATATAGATAGATAGATAGATACTTGGATGGATGGATAGATACCTTCTGATACCTAGGAGCAGCATGTGTAATGAGATAGAACTTTGTCCAGGGAACTAATTTGGGGCACTTTGATATAAAGATATCTTTATTAGATCTCGCCTCCAGAGTAACAAAAACATGTGTTAAATGTTTTTTGTTTAGTATTTTACAGTGCTAAAGGATTTTCATAATAATAAGGAAGATGCAGCTAGATATTGTATGAAAAGGGAATTTTATTATGCTAGATTTAGCCTTTAAAATATCAGTTACAGTTAATATTTGAAAACTCATCTCATGATTTCATTGTTTTACTTTAACTGAGAATATTTATATGGAACATAAAACAAGGAAATTGACTGAAAAGGTAGAGAGATAATGAGCCTAGCCATTACAAGAATAGCAGAAATTATACATCTGCTCTCTGACAGACATAATGGGAAATAAAACCTGGACCTCAGAAACTTTACTGTGCTCAAGTGGCTAGTTTACTGTGTACACTGTAAGAGTTCAACTCAACAAATGTTTGCTGATTTTTACAGACATAGCTGAAAAATTTCTCAGAGGAGAAAATCTGACTCAAAACCACAAGGTGGAAGTATTACACAGAATGTCATGTATTCTGTTTCTCCTTCATTCTTCCTAGAACTCCAGATGTTAGGATCATCAGAAGAGAGCCATAGATAAGAGAGAGAATATCCAAAGTTTGGGATATTTTCTTAAGTTTAGATTCCTTTCTAAGGAAATAGATTGCTATTACTGTTACCTCAAATATCACCCAATTGTTAGTATGATTATTCCACTTACGTATTTTAAAATAATATAATAATGTCTGGTTTTTATTTTGTATAGCTGCTTTCCTTCCCCTCTGCCCTGAGAAATAGACCCAATTTCCATCAGTCCCTTCATTATAAAGTTTTAAATATTCAAATACTGCTTCTGCCTTTTGTACCTGATAGGTTTGCTTCTTCAGCAGTTATCTTTATTGTCATATTTAATTCTTGGCTTCCAAGCAAAAATTGAGAAAGGTCCTATGACTGTGGATAGTAGTAAATCATGAAAATAGGGCATGAAGCCAGAACTAGAAGAGTCAAGTGGAGTTGTGAACAGAATATCTGGAATGCTAAGAAACTAGATATCAAGAAAATAATATCTAACACATAGTACTTTTAAGGTTTGCAAAACACTCTTACATATATGTTAATTATCTCATTTCATATTATAACAATACTATAAGGTAGGTGCTATTATTATCCCCAGTTTACAGATGAGGAAACTGAGGCTGAAAAGATTAAATGACTTCCCTAAGGTCACACAGCTACTGAATGTCTAAGGCAGGATTTGAATTCAGACTCACTCCAAGTACATGTTCTATCCACTACATCACCTTGAAGCTGTCTGCTACACCAAAGGTAATTTGACAACTGTACAATTTCTAGAGATTAAGTCAAGGTAATCTGACAAGGAACTAAAACCAGAGAATTACACAGGTGCCAAAATTCAAAGCAAGATCAGAACAAATAAGGACCAGAAAACACAATATGGTAAGAGGGGATTAAGCTGGTTGAAAAGCTATGTTCTAGGAGAAACTCACATAACTGGACTAATGATAGCTTGGCAAATAGGCAGTTTTAGAGAATTAATAAAACACCATCTACTATCCCTACTTGAACAATAACTTTAGCCCTTAACACTTCTATTACCAGAGGTCTAGAGATCAAAGGAACTGTGTGAATAAATTGTAGAGTTTGAAGTGTTTATGTTCCTGCTTGAAGGCAAGATGATTTCCCACAAGATAGATAGATAAATAGACAGACAGACAGACAGACAGGTGGGTGGATGGATGACCAAGTGCAAGTTGTCCTCTTTACAGAACTCATGGAATGAATTCCTACTCTATTGTATAGAATGAAGAGCTTTTAAATAGGAATAAAGAAAAGATCCAGGAAGGGAACCTACCAGTGCTATTAGGAAGAAATAAAAATATTCTAAAGAGCCAGGGGGGTAGGAGATGAGGCAAAGAGTCAAAATCAGTGTTAAGTAGTTGGTGGATGTAAGACATGAAAGAAAGAGAAAAAGAAATTTTACACCCCTAGAATTATAGGATAGATATGAGGCTCTTTTCATATGGTGTCGATAAGCATCTCACTTCACAGAATGAGAAAACTCCATTGATATCAATCCCTAAGAAGAAACTGGTTACTGATCCCAAGAAAAAGATGTCATGGTGATTAATGTCCTCTTCATGAAAGTGTACATGAGTGGCTATAGAGACCTGATATGACCAATTGAAGGGTTTCTGTCTTCCTGGAATATGTATCTAGGACATGGTGGGAGACCCTGTTGAGCCTTTCACTTCTGCTGACCATTATCCAGCTTTGGTGATTAATGTTCCAGAAGAAACCTGAAAATAATTTGAAGGGACTAT